AAATGGTATTAAAACGTAATCAGCATGTTTGGCGTGTCCTCCGTGTTCTTCCCCCGCCACCCTGTGGTCAGAGTGCCGCCATAGTGGAAAGACCAGTGAGAATTCCAAGAGAAGCAAAACGTGGTCCAAAACCAAACCCAGATGCTGGTGAGCTGTTTCTGAGTCTTCATTTTAGAAAATATCATTGTGTTCAAGGTAAAGAAAATGCAACCTTTGTTTCAGACCCTTTCAGAGTGTTTCCAGGAAGGAATGAATATGCATACACACATAAATATGTGTATTTATGCACATGTGTGTTTATAAATAGACACATAACTGCTATAGGTTAAAACAAGACAACCAGGAATTGCACTTAATTTTCTTTTGAGGAGAAGATGTTTATGTGATGTAAATGGATGGACTAGATTCTGGGAGAGTAGAGTAGATTTCCTTCAAACAAAGCGATAGCATTCTAAGTGGAGTCTTTCTGTTCTTCATTTATATAAATCATCTTTTCCCAACCTCACTGGACTTGATACCAATTTTAGTTTTATATCTTTGCCCCTATCCTAAAAGGTTGTACTTTTGAGAAATTTTAAAGGAACTAAGAGTAATTGGGGCTTTGGGAGTTTTTTTAAGTCCTTGAAAGAAGTTGTAGCACTCTTGAGGTGTTACAAAAACCATGGTTGGGAATGACCCATAGGAAGAGACTCAGTTTGCATTGTGAATGTCCACATTTACTTGTTAAGTTGCTTATTAAGCCAAGGCAAAAATACAAATTAATTAAATGCCTCAAAATTGTTTTGTAAATTACTGTCTTCAGCAAAATTTTAGTTCCATAAAGATGAGGTGCAAGCTGGGCTATTTTTAACTTCTCCTAATGCTCTCTCGCACAGTGTGTGGCTGCATTCGCTGTGTCGGCTGTTGCTTCTCAGTGGGAACGCACTGGAAAGCCTTTCAACCCACTTCTGGGAGAGACTTATGAGTTAGTTCGGTAAGCTCTTCACTCTGTTCCAGGCAGGTAGTTGAATCTGCATAATTTATGTAGCTTTCCAGGTAAAAATGTTATGTTTTCATTTGAAAATACATTTTTTGAGCATTACCAACATTTTGGATGACTGGAGAAAGCTAACAATTTTAATGCTTGTTTCTATGGTACTTACTGTTTTAGAGACTATATAAAAATATGGAACCATTTAAAAGTGAACCGTTATTAATAGTAATGATAAGAATGTCAGTATTCTGATCATGTGGGATCAGTTATCCTTTTCTCCTTTTGTAGACCAGAAGACATGATTTTTTTCTTAATATATAAAATATATTAGCATAAACTTGTACTGTTGGCAGGAAGGCAGTGACTTTATCTGCGGGTGCAGTTCTGGCTGCCCGTTGTAGCTTGCTTCTTTCCACACAATTAGGGAATTTATTTGACTTTAGTTTTTCTGAGTCTTCCTCTTCGCTCCACAAGTTTTGGTCTCATTCATTCCCTAGATGTTTGAAAGAGGGGGCACATTAGATTCTTCTATCTTAATATGAATAGAATGATAAGTTTTAAATTTCCACAGCTAATATGGTCAATTCATGAAAATCACCCCTGTTCACTTGAGTGCTACTTAATATGTTTAAGTAGTGAGATTTCTCATAGCACTGGAGTTCAGGTTGCATTCCTGCAGGTCTCATATGTTGTTCTTTAGTCATCAGGATGATAACAGAATTGTTTACTTTGTGAAATCTGTCTCCTTAATAATACTGTAACATTGCTTTTTGACTGAAATGACAAGAATGTACACATTCTATGAAAAGAGTTAATTACAGTGTTGCCTTTTTTTTTTTTTTTTTTTTTTTTAACCTTAAGAGATGACCTTGGTTTCAGACTCATCTCCGAGCAGGTCAGCCATCACCCACCTATTAGTGCATTTCATGCTGAAGGATTAAACAATGATTTCATCTTTCATGGCTCAATTTATCCCAAACTGAAGTTCTGGGGGAAGAGTGTAGAAGCGGAACCCAAAGGAACCATCACGTTGGAGCTCCTTGAGTGAGTTGCAGTCAAGACTTTAACTTTTTTCCTGTGTACCTGCTCATAAGTACATACACGTGCACACAGACCCGGCCTTGTTCAAAAGCTGGAGAAAAAGAAACCACTTTTACAAAGTGTAAATTACCTGCCTTCATGTAAAAGAATTTGAGAGCCTGGCAGGAGCCACTGTTAATCAGCCTAGGTATATATGTAAAAAATTTAACTTGATGTTCCACTGTGATGTGTGTTTGGATCTGTTTTAAGATAAAATGGAGCAAAAATAAACAAGTGAGACTACATCAAATTAAAAAAATAAAGGAACACACACAATAAAGGAAACCATCAACAAAATGAAAAAGGCTACCTACAGACAGTGTGGTATTGGCCAAAGGACAGACACATACATCAGTGGGACAGAGAAGAGAGTCCCAACACCTACCCACAGAAATGCGGTCAATTGATTTTTGACAAAGGCACAGACACAATTTCAGTGAAAAATGATATAGTCCTTTCCACAGATGGTGTGGGGGCAGTTGGACATGCCCATATTTAAAAAATGAACCTCAACTTACATCTCACACCTTAAACAAACATGAACTCCAAATAGATCATAAACTAAAATCTAATGTACTTTCTTTGGAAGAGAACATAGGAGATCTTTATGACCTTGGATTAGGCGATGACATCTTACAGACAATACCAGAGCACAGTTTAGAAAAGACAAAATTGATAAATTAGATTATTTTATCAAAATGAAAAACTTTTCTCTGTGAAAAACACTTCAGAGAATGAAGGGGCAAGCTACAGATGGGTAGATATTATTTGCAAATCATATCAACAAAGTACTTGTATGCAGAATATTGAAAGAATTCTCTAAACTCAACAATAAAAAAACAAACAACCCAGTAAGAAACTAGGCAAAAGATGTGAATAGATCCTTCACCAAAGAGATAGATGAATGGCAAATAAGCACAGAAAAACATACTCAACAGTTTCAGTAAGTGATTAAACTGTGGTACATCCATACAGTGGAATACTACTCAGAAATAAAAAAGAACAAATTATTGATACATGGAATTGAAAATGCATTACAAATGAAGAAGCTAATCTCATAAAGTTCCATAGCATATTAGCCCATTTATATGACATTCTGGAAAATGCAAAACAATCGCAGTGGAGAACAAGTGAGTTTTTCAGGGGTTAATTTGTGGTGGGGAGGGATTGACTGCAAAGGGGCAGCATGAGAGAGTTTGTGAGGAGGGTGATGGAATTGCTTTATAATCTGATGGTGGTGGTGGTTATAAAGATTTGTGCTTGTGTTAAAACTCACAGAACTATATACACCAACAAGTGAATTTTACTGTCTGTAAATTAAAAGTAAATTCAAACAAATACATAAAGGTGTACAGCATGTTTTCGAAGGCAAAGGATGTGTAGAATTGGAGCTTATTCACATACACAAGTTTTCCCTTTGGTGAGCTGGCAGGCACGCTCTCTCTCTGCAAAGTACTAAATAGACCTTCATTTTTTTTTTCTTCTACCTCTGATTTTATTTTTTATGTTCCCACCAAACTTTTGAATGCTTAAGATGATTATATACATAGTTTATTTGGAGTTTGGTGGAACTACAGAATTTTTTCTTAAGTTTTTGCATCCTTTTAAGAAACAACAAGAGTCATCCAATGACACCTACTGTACTGTGAGTGAACACCGATCGAGTTGTAAAGTCTTAGAACGCAGTCATCTCCCGCAGTCTGATTTGTTATGCTGAGTCATGGCGTTTGAGGCCAGTGCACTTTTTAAACCAAGTAACACTTCTCATTGATTTTCCTGGGCTTTGATTTTCTTTTTGTTTTTTAGACACAATGAGGCGTACACGTGGACAAATCCCACCTGCTGTGTCCATAACATCATTGTGGGCAAACTCTGGATTGAGCAGTACGGCAACGTGGAGATCACAAACCACAAGTAAGACTCTTCAGGGTCCTCACCTGTCCCCTCAGTTGTCATCAGAGGGTCCCAGTGGTCTTTTTTCAAACACTCTAGTAGACACTGATGACAGTTTAAGAACCAGGCAGTGTAACTCTAGAGTAAATAGAAGCCCGTCCGCTTAATGGACAGAGTTGGTACTACAGTGTCTGGCTGGGGAGACGGGCGAGCTCCGCGCTTCTGCAGCCTCGTGAGGCTTCATTCCCACCTCCCTCCGCTCATTTTGCTGACATTGCTTAGTTTGTGGTGTTCGCACGTGGGCAGACGGTAGGGAGAGTTGGGGTCAGATCCTACTTTGTGACCTTAGGCAAGTGTCTCAGCCTCTTGGTCGGCTCGGCTGCTGGAACAAGTCACTGCAGACGGGCGGCTCACGGCGGAAGCTGATTACTCAGGGTTCTGGAGGCTGGGCGTCCAGGGCAGGGCGCTGGCAGATTTGTTCGGTGAAGGCCCTCTTCCTGGTCTGGCCATCTTCTCAGATGGTCACATGGCAGGGAGAGATCATCTCCCCGGCTCTTCTTGTAAGAGCGCTGATCCCGTTCGTGTGGGTTCCACCCTTCTGACCCAGTCACCCCCAGGCGCCCTCGCGCAGGGGCTTAGGGCTTCACCGTGTGTTTTGTACATCCAGGGGACGTTCATTCCATAGCAGCAAGTCGCTTATTCCTTACCAGCCTTGGTTACCTTTTCTTCACGGTGGGGCCAGTACTGCTTATGGGTTAATCATGGTAACCCTGGAGGCTGGCATGGCTTGGAAAATCAGTAAACAGCGGCTGCTGCTAGAAAGGTGATCGTGGTCACTGTCCCCTACTGCTGCTCACGTGCTGAATGGTAACCTGAGCTTACTGTCTCCTTTGTAGGACTGGGGACAAGTGTGTGTTGAATTTTAAGCCGTGCGGCCTTTTTGGTAAGGAATTACACAAAGTTGAAGGCTTCATTCAAGATAAAAGGTAAAGTTTCTCTTTTAAATGTTGAGTAGTATATAGTTCACTAAATTACTTCACTAAATAAAATGTCATTATTAAAATCTCCCATTACCTGCCACTTTCAGTAAATAGAAAAAAATCTTTCTTCTGCAGGGAAGAAAGATTTCTTTAAAGAATCTGATTCATAAGCATCTTTGTAACAATATTCAGTTACAGCAAAAGACTGGTTTAATTTTTGGCTAAACATCAGTTTCTCTTGACAGCAAAAAGAAGCTCTGTGCTCTCTATGGGAAGTGGACAGAATGTTTGTACAGTGTTGACCCCGCCACATTCGACGCTTACAAAAAAAATGACAAGAAAAATACCGAAGAGAAGAAGAACAGCAAACAGGTGAACATCCCATAAGGTGGTATCGAAGGAGTCACTGGCCTCTTTAAATTTGTGCTGATCCTTTTGGAGGTGGCCTGTGAGTGGGTCCCCGTGTGACCTTTTTATACTTGTTGCTGGTGCAGTAGTGTTTCTCCTAGACCCTTCTCAGTGCACAGATCATCTGCTCTGGCCGTGATGTTTGATGTAGTCTCACGCAGAGTGTGGGTGTGCGCCGTGCGCTTGCACGTGCAGCGTTGAATTCACATCGCCCTGGAAGGCTGGAGTTCGCCTTAGTGAGACAAGTGTTCTTTCCTCCGCTTTGTTTCTGTGCATTTCAAGTTGAGATCGTTTGACTATTTGACATTCACCCAGAGTGACCACCTTCCATTTTCATGCCTCTCCACAGTATCGTTGCCCTCTTCCTTGTCACGAAATCCCTGAAGTTGAGAGCATCGCAGGGGAGGGGGTCGTTCCTGGACGGCTGCCCCCCTCTTAGTTAGCTGCTTCCTACTGGGACAGTTACTGTCCCGACAGACCTCCCAGGGGCTGGGCCCACACTTCTGACTGCAGGGCCCCAGGGCCGGGCACACTGTGAGCTCAGGAAAGGTCGCACCTGTTTGCACAGGGAGCGCGGGAGGATGGTGACTTGCTAGTGACCCATGTCTCGGTTCGAGCGCAAACTGGTTAGAATCTTGCCTCCACCGCTTCCGAGCAGTTCAGTCTAAAGCAGATCCCCTCCCTCTCTTGGCCTCAGCGCCTTCGTTTGTAAAATGGGGACATAGTAGCACCCACGTACCAGATGAGTTGACAGCAGTCAGGGGCTCGTGGTAAAGACGCCGAGGTCCCTCCTGTCCACCCAAGCCTGTCCCAGCGTAGCCTCCGAGCTCTCTGGGGCACTTGGGGCCACTCGGACACGTGCCGAAGTTTGGGAAGCCCTGACCTTCCTGAAAAACGGGTGTGTGGATGAGCGGCTTCTCTGTAAATCACTGTTCTGCGCTCCTCCTCACACCACGTGTCCCTGCTGCCTTTCCTTTACCTGGGCAGGGGGGACAAGGGGGCAGACACCTCTTTGCAGTGACTGCAATCTGACGGGGCCAGAGGAGGAAACGATCCAGGGCCCTGGAGCCCGCCGCACCCTCCATTCACAGAGGTGGAGTAGGGGGACGGTGAAGGGCGTTGGCGAAGTTCCAGAGTCCCGCCCCGTTCTCTGCACCTCCCCAGTGGGCCTCTGTGAGGAATGGCCTCACCCCTCCCTTGCAGAGAGAAACCATTCTCACGCAGTCGCTCCCGGCTGGTCTCTCACCTCCCCGTGTGCCCCGAGCTGCCTCAGCTCACTGATGCGTCTTCAGATGCCGCAGGAAGCTTGTCATCATCCATGCTCTCCCCTCCTGGCTGCTGTTTTTGGACCTGCATCTCTCAGTCTGTAGTTCTACATTTGGCAGCTGTGACATTGGGAACATGACAACCGTCCAAAGGCTTAAGTTCTTTATATCTAAAACCGTGGTAATTGTCTTCGTACGTTTGTTACATAAAGACTAAATATATAGAGAGCTGCGCACCCAGCCCAGCCTGAGGCGGGGTAGCCAGAGGATATGGGGGTTTCCTTTTCGGCCTGACATCTTTTTAAATCCTCTTTGTATTAAATGCTTTCAGGATCCCTGCTGGTTTGTGTCATGGATACATTTAGTTAACGGCTCCAAGAATGTAACCTTTTCTTACTCTCATAATGTTCCAGTAACTACTCAAATGAGTTATTTGGTCTTTTAAAAAAGCGTTAAAAATGTTAGAACACGATTGTAAAGACTGATGATGACGGTGCTGGTGATGATAGTAATGCCCTGAAAGCGCATGACGCTGAACGCAGAGCTCACGAGGCTCAGGCACTTGGTCGCCCTCGGCCCATGTTTGGCGGCTCCTGCGCCGTGATGGAAGCCGAGGACGAAGGATGAGAAGCCACAGCCCTCGTGATGTTTATGTTCTGATGCTGTGCAGTCCATGCTGCTGCTTTCACAAGCTGTAAGGATGTTCTTTTTGAAACGCCTGAGTCTTATTCATCTGGCGGTTCTTCCAGATGAGCACTTCTGAGGAGTCGGATGAAATGCCAGTGCCAGATTCTGAGAGCGTGTTTGTCATCCCTGGAAGCGTTCTCCTGTGGCGAATAGCCCCGCGGCCTCCGAACTCTGCCCAGGTGAGGCTGGGTGTGCCGACCGGGGCCTCACCGTCCACATGGGCCCTGGTGGCGCGCTCTCCCGACCACGGGAGGGCCGGCCTTGGCCAAGGCGAGGGGAGGGGGGCAGTCATCGAAAAGCTCCCCAGTCCCCCTGCGGGCTTCTCCCCTGGGACCCAGTGCAGTGCGGCCGCCCGGTTCTCCTAGTGGCCGGCTGGGAGGCCGCGTTGGGGTGGGGCTTTCTGGGGGACCTTCTTTAACAATTACTTAGGAGCAAGACAGGCTCTTGTTAAATACGAGAAGATGCGACGAGACCTAGCAAGTGTGATTTTAATGAGGAAGAAAGAATTTTGATTTGGCTTATAGCTCTGCCTCCAGGTGGTAGTGATAGAGGGTGTTTATTCTGGGAGGCCTGCTTTGAGGTCTCTGCGGCAAATACCCACAGATGTGCTCCCTTTGGTGAAAACACTTAGATACATGATCTGAGAAAGGCCGACGGTCATCACCACAAAACAGGGAGATCCTTGTCAGGTATCCACCCCGGCGGGTCACTTTGCACTCTGCCTGGTACATGTTAATTTGAACATTTTGCTTCTTTTCAGATGTATAACTTTACTAGCTTTGCAATGGTTCTGAATGAAGTAGACAAAGAAATGGAGAGTGTGATTCCTAAGACGGACTGCAGGCTACGGCCTGACATCAGAGCCATGGAAAATGGAGAAATAGGTAACTCAGCACCAACGAAGAGTCATTTCTTTGAGGAAGATGGTTTGTTTTCCTCCTGGTGACTGTTAGCATTTTTAGTATGTTAGTGTTTAGTATTTTGGATGTTAGCACAAGTATTTTTAGTCTCTCTTAGAGATTTTTTTAAATTAAAATTGTTTAAATTCAGTAACTTTCATTTTGAATTTGAAAATCTGAGGTAGGCCTTAGTAGCTCAGATTTCATGATCTCAGTGATACTTCCTGGTAATTGAATATACTACACATGGCCAGGGGCATATCTTACATGTCAGGGGAATTTGGGAAAATAATAGAGTCTTTTCAACTTTCAGCTGCATTCTGACTAGTTATTTCACTGTGTGTCTTGGAATGTCAGTAGCACCTGGTGAGCTTGGCCTTGGTCAGTGATAACATTTCTGTCTCGTGGTGTCACATTTACATTGCTTCCAGTTCGGTGGTTCTCGAAGCGGGGCGGCCGAGGGTTGTGGGGGGCAGTTTTCCCCCAGGGGACATGGGGCATTGTCTGCAGACTTCCGTGTCACATCTGGGGAACTGCCACTGGCATCTAGTGGGTAGAGGCCTGGGGTGCTGCTCAGTGCCCTCGTACCCAGGACAGTCCCCCACGAAGAAACGGGGTGCAGCATATCAGCAGGGCCAAGGCTGGGAGACCTGTTCTCACAAAGCCCACGGACGCTCCCTTTGTAACAGCAGTGGGGCGGCGCAGTGGTGTTTGGAAAATTGTTTGCATTTCTTAGGAATGGAATCCGAAGGAGCCCTGTGAGGTCTCACTAAGCATTTAGAAAAATCTCACATTTATTCAGCTTTTCCACCTGATTTTCACTGAAGCATTGTAACGCCCCCCCCCCAAAAGCAGGTTCTTCTGGTAAATGCAGAGGTGGTTATGGGCAGAGGCCGTAGGGTGAGGTGACTGGGTCTCGAATGCCAGCGCTGCCTCTCACCAGCTTGGGGACGTGTTCCACTTGGCACAGGCTGTGGTGCTGGTGTGCTGACGAGTGGAGGCCGTGCTGGTACCTGACCCTGGAAGGTGCCTGTGCCTCCTGCCCTGCCTGCTCCCTACTTGGAGAGTAACTGTTTTCCATCGATGTGCTTATTTTAGATCAAGCTAGTGAGGAAAAAAAGCGACTTGAGGAGAAGCAGAGAGCGGCCCGCAAGAACAGGTCCAAGTCGGAGGAGGACTGGAAGACGAGGTACGCTGAGCCCCGGAGGTCCTGGGGGGTCACAGGGGGCGGTCGTGTGAACTGCGGAGGGGCTAGCTGAGCCCTGCCTGGGAGAAAAGTAACTTCCACTGACTAAGTAGTCGAGCTGTCGGGGTTTGATGTGTACAAAGAAAAAAGATTATTTGGAAATTAGGGTTAAAATATTCAGTTATCGCAGGTGAATGCCAATTAAGCAGATGACCTTTCCTCCTTATCCAGCCAAACACTGTCCCTTCGATATTTAAGAGGAAAACTAAACTCTAGAATTACAGAGTTTTGGCATAGAAATAGGTTCAGAGCCATTTGCTTACATAGGTGAGTAAATTATAGGGCCGTTTGCGCACACGTTACCACACGTGTCGTGGGTGGTTAGACAGGGCCTTTACTCTTCCAAACGCGAGGGACGTGACGTGTCACAGAAATGCCGTTTATTAAAGTAACACCTTGGATTCCATTCAGAAACAAACTGATCTCCAAGTTTTGAAAGTTGTTTTTTTTTTTTAAGAATCAGGAGTGAGTTAGTAGTCACTTGTATTGAGTAATAGAATCTCTTGTAAATAGGAATGGTATAAAAACATTTTCTACATTTATATTACATAACAGAAGCCACTGACCCACCATTCACAGTTGCTAAAATAAATCTGAGAGCCATTATGGGCCTAATTTTGACAGTGGTTTAGTTGATGTCATTTGATCGTCCTTTTGCATCTTAGACGGTTATTAGAACTAGAAATGACCTTAAATATCATCTAGTCCAGTGGTTTTTGGGCTTTTTTGCTAGCATCAGAATCTTTGCTGCCGAAGAACACAGAGTCTGCAAATAGGACCCATGGCAACAGCTGCTCTGGTAGGATGAGGGCTGAGGGGCAGGGCTCGGCCTCTCCCACCTGCACACACCCGATCCCTGAAACTCGGGCAGGTCCGCCAGAAAACCGTTAGTCTGCAAATCCCTTCCCTGTGCGCGAAGAAGCCAAATGCTGGTGTATTTCATTTAAGCGACTTACTCAAGGGCAAGTACACCTCAGATTGTGATTAGAAGGAGCCTCCACTTTCATTAATCCTTCAGGCAAAAACCTCATTGCTTTACTGTGATCCGTTCTGAAAAGATTTGATGCATTTTACCATTATTTCTAGTCTCTCAAACCCCACTTTTGTACTGTATTTCTGATTATTAACTTCTTTCTTTTTGTGGTCACATTTTCAAGTGTGCAAAGTAAGCAAAAAGTCCACTAAGAATTTTTACTGTCGGATAATGTCTTACATTGAGAAAGCAAGGGGCTTTAGAGAGCTCTGTGGTGGCCTGAAAATGAAAACCAGAGGCTGCGTTTGTGAGCTGCACTTTGGAGCCTTGCACATGCTCTCTTCCACACCTGTCTCTTAGCATCAGTAGACACGGGATTTGAAGGGAAGGTGGGTGATGAGGCAAAATAAGTGGGGGAAATCATCTGTTCCCCCAGTATGAGCACCATGCAGAATTTAATATTCCATAGAATGTTATTTTACTGGTATAGACCCATGGACTCTGTAGACTCAAAAATATTGCCTAGAATTTAGCAAAGACATCTTTCCCCCCACCCACCACCCCTTTCCTGTTGCCCATGCTTGCCTAAAATGTTAAGGCTTTAGAAAGACAAAGTAACTGGACTTTTTTGTGCATGGAGTGGGTACGGCGACAACAGCAGGTTTCCAGACATGAATTCTCAAAGTTAGGAGACTAGATGTTGAGAGAAACTCTAGTCCTTTGCATCAGACCATTACGTCCGAGATGCTCACCTTTACTGCAGTGTTCGAACTCTCCCCAAGAACAAGTGCTCCCCGAAGGAAGGCCTTGCAGGTGTGGCCCTTAGAGAACTTGGCTTGTGTGTGAGCAGGAAAGTATCCTTTGCTGTTGCATCTACCGTTGTGTGAAGTCTCTGTGCAATTTGATTTTCCCCTTCTCCATTTTGTGAAAGAAATCCTGTGGCATAGGTCTGAGGCTTAGTTAATTTTTAGAATTATTTTTGATTACCTTGATTTTGATTTGCCCGTTTTTCTGAAATGCTTGATTTTGCTAAGCCTGACCACAAAAGTGCTTTTACTGCTTGGACTTTGGAGACCAAAAGGGGTAAAATTGTATTATTCGTGTTAGACAAAAATTCTGACTTTTTTTTAAAACATTTTTTATTGATTTATAATCATTTTACAATGTTGTGTCAAATTCCAGTGTAGAGCACAATTAAAATTCTGTGACTTTGATCAAATAATAGTTCCTTATAATATTTCTAGCTTGGTTACCAAAATCTGAAAGACACATATCTTGATCATTTAAAGTAGACTTTAAAATTTTGTAATTAGGGAAAAGTCCCAAAAACTAAAAAGAATTTTTATGATAATAGTCTAGAAGATTTGGTCTAATGGGCATTTACTGTATCAGCCTTCAAGGAATTGGCCTAATCTGAAGCATTTTTCCTGTCTTAGGGTTTTTAGTGCTGCTGTAGTGATTAATAGGACCAGTTGGGACTTAGCAAACAAATCTAACCTCACTGTAATTGTTAAATATTTTTAGAGGCAATTTATTTGGAAAGAACGACAAACACATATGGAACTGTTAACATAAATATTACGCTGAAAACTAACATTAGAAAATGTTACACAAATTAGAATCTGAACCTTTTGAAAAGTAGTTTTGCATTTCAACTTACCTAAAGAAAGCTGGGACTGTGAGAATAGGTGACTTGTTTTGTAAAGGGCAAGAAGATTAGGGCAGCTCTTTCTAGAATTAGGTAAGACGGGCTAAGATGTTGAAAGCTCGAGGTGCAACCTATGAATCCATATTAGCATGGAGAAAATTGAGACCCAAGAAGATCTGGACCAGATTAATTTCAGCAGGTTACGTGTAGCACAGCATATTTAAGAAATCATGGTCTTTAAAACCAGACTTGTTTGATATCAGTGGCTAGCTTGGGCAAGTTATTCAACTTCTCTGGCGCTGAGCTCTTTGTAAAAAGAAACTTCTAAGAGTTTGGGGGGCATTTATTCTGAATCACACACCTCACATACTACTGTAGGTGTGTTGTGAAAGTTAATTTCCTTCTGGATTCTTTAGTCCTCATCGCTTAAAAGGCGGCTTTCCAGTGGAAGGTAAGTAATGGGCCTATGTGAACAATTAGACGAATATATTGGTTCTTAACAACCCTGCTGGACAGGAACTCCTGCTTCTGCTAAGTAAGAACTGTTGCTAAATGCTGTGGAAAATCCATAAACCTTTTGGATGATGTCATTGTGTATTTTGGACTATTATTCTGCATACACGCTCTCTACAAACACTTCCTAAAAGTCTCTTTGGAAATCGTAACCCCTAGAATGAAGTGAACCGCCGGCTGTGAGTAGGGAATCTGTGAGCTAGTGAAGCAGTGGGTACCCTGTCATCTCAGTTTCCCACGTAAATCCTGTCTTTTCTCTTTAAACAGGTGGTTCCATCAGGGCCCTAATCCCTACAGCGGAGCCCAGGACTGGATTTACTCGGGCAGCTACTGGGACAGAAACTACTTCAATTTGCCTGACATTTATTAAAGTGTAGACAAGTGGGGGGCATTTGGCCAATCTACAAATAAGTCTTAAACCTATGTTTTAAAATTTTTCTTCCTTGGTTTCTACTCATCTTAAAAGACAAAGCCGTCTCATGGTAACTTGTGTTTCACCCAACCAAAGTAGGGCATAAGGTGATCTCGGTGGTGAAAAGTCTTAGGAAAAATGGGTAATTTTGCTATCCAAACACACTTACTTGGAATACTGTTTTATACGGAGGTTTGGGAAACTGCTGACTACGCTTTTGCTGGTTGCTGTTGCCATATTTACTGAAGGTTTCTACCTAAATGTAACTTTAGCTTTATGGAATTATATAGTAACCCAAATCAAGTTATTTTGAATATTTTTATGCTGTTATGCTTGAATGTTTTAGATGTAACTTTGAAATGTTTAGAATTCTCCTATACAATGTTTATGTGCTCAAATATAGAGAAAGGGTGTGTCATTTTGCAAAGACCACACTGAAAAGATGGCCTTTCTTCATACTAACCCTCTCAGTTTTGCCCCTTCCCACCTCTAAAAGAAGAAGAAAAATGCCTGAACGTTCAGATAGTCCTGATTTGGAAATTCTAAGCTGGAAAAGGTATTTCATTTGCTTATTTTAGCACTCTGAATTTACTTTTACAGTTTTCTCTAATGTTATTAGAATTAAAAGGTGTTTAAATTGTACATGTTCAAATTGAAAATATGTATAAAACCTAGCAATTCATAAAAATACCCTAGAATAGAGATTTTAATCACTGATTACATAATGACAAACCTTTTAAAATGCTTCAACTCCCAGTGGCAGATGCCACCAGAAGAATTCAGTTGTACTCCTGTATTATAAATGTCAAACTCTATAATAGGTCGTCTCGTGCACTTCAAGTTTGCAAGGCACCTGTGTACTTAAGATACGTACAGAGACCTACTGTACAGTAGCTTTGCCCCTTTAATTGGGGTACATTAATCTTACGGTATTTATCCACCCAACCCCAGACTGAGATACTGTTCCAGGGGACCTTAGGTAGCTGCCAGTAAGTTATTTTAATGGCTGTCTTGAAGTTAACAAGTGTTATAATGAAATAATCCACCTGATGCTAAATAAAGGCTTTAGAATGTTCAAAACAATGTGGTTTCTTTTACACTTTCAGATATATTAATGCTGCATTTAATACAATCCTAAGTTATCAAGAGTGTCCTTACAAAGAAATACTTGTGGTAGAGAAATCCCTGAGGTCACATTCTGAGTAGGCACTTAGCATGCATTCTCTGGGTAAATGCAGCATTAAGCAAGGTGCTGGTGTAGTCTAAACTCAGTGAGCATGCCAGATCTGGAATTAGCAGGTGGCATAACCTCATTAGAAAACTTGTGACTGGATCTGCTGCAGGGGAAATGTTTAATTTTTTTTTTTTTTACAGTGTATACGTAAGAGTTGGAAAATGCTATTGCGTCCTGTCACAGGTCTGGAAAGATTGAAGACCTTTTGTGTTCAAATGTTTGTATACCCCCCCAATAAGAGTGTAAGATTTTATGCTTGCATGAAGTTTATTGATACATTACGCTTGGTGGCAGGCTCCACCTTGAATGTCGACTCAAACAGTGTCATTTTCAGCACCTGTTAGGAATAATGTAAATAGTGAATTGTTTAAATTTGATTATAAAATTATAAAATAACATGTAAAATGACTGTAAGATCAGAAGTGTCCAGTTCTGTCCTGCTCGGCTACTAAGCTCTTAACTAATCAGGTACCTGTGCATCTACACTAAAGTATCGTAGCATGTCATGCCAAATGCAGCCATTTTGACAGTGACACTAAAAGGGTATGAGAAAGTCAGTGCACACAGTCCTAAGGCATGTCGGTCACAGAGCTGTCTCCGGAACTGTGGTCACTGGGGTACTTGACCTTGCCTGTAACCGTTCAGCCCGTCGCTGTGACTTCCCACTGAACTTCCTACCCCCGTCTCTTTGGTTTGCAGGACCCTGAATTATAGTTCCTTCGTCACACCTGACTTCATCTTTTGTCCTCCCTGCCCATCTCACTGTGGCCAACTGGTAGCGTCTCGAAGCCTCAGGCCCTTTCCTGCCCTTGGACCTGTCTGTGGGCTCCGTGCAGGGCGGGTGGCCGTTTACCTGTGGCCCTGCATGGCCTAACAAAGGAGGGTCCCTAGCAATGTCTGTCTCGTCTCTTCATAATACTTCACATAGTGTAATTTGCTTTTTTGTCCCTCTCTCCCACTAAGGTATAGGTTCCATGTTTTGCTCTGCTGTAAACACGTGGGGAGGAGGGGCTTGCACTGTAAATAGTAAGTACTCATTGAATCAAATTTTTATGATTTGTGAGTGAAAAACTCTCTTACCTACAGTTAATACCACTGTCGCATTAGTGCTTCAATGTTTCCAACCTGTCTGTTCTACTGGAAATGTTCACTGTAAGAGGGCCCAGGCTGGGGGCTCCACATAGTCTCACACTTTGCTCTCCAGCTGCCCTCTGTTCCTTCCTGCCCCTTAAACCTGCTGACTAGATTATAAGATTAGGTCTTTTTTTTTTCCCCTTTTTCATTCACCCCCTTTTGGCATCTTCTGCAGGGCGAGACACAGAACCAAGTATTGAGAGGTAAGTGAGTGGGTTGACTGGTTTGTGTTTTAGGCACCCCTCCTCGGTGAGTTGTGAATGTGCAGGGCGCCTGCCATGCATAGAGGAGTAGCTGGTGGTAAGGAAGGTGGGGACAGCCTCCACCTCAAATGAGAGTTGACCAAACTCAATTTTTTTTAAGAAATTGCATTGAAATATGCGATCTCCAGGTCAACAAATCAAATTGCTGAAACCTCGAGAGTGTCGAGGCCCACATGTTACGGGAGAATTTACCTGCCAGTTTTAGGTTTCTGCTTTGCGAACTTGGGCGGTAGTCACGGTTATTTCTCCAGCAATACCGTAACTTCCACAGGGAGTACGCTTGTCACCAGATCCTGAACCTTTTTTGGTTACATCTTCTACCGGGAAAGCAACAGAAAGAAAAACTGGGCTTTGGGGTCTGGGGCCCTCTTGTCCACCTGTAGGAGGACTAGCATTCTGGGAACTTGGGGTGAGTTTCTGGAATTTCTGGTCTGCAGGAACAGCAATGGGCACTTGCACTGCAGCGTATCTCTTCAAGGTCTCTGCCTGGGAGACAACAGCATGTCCAGGAACAGGCTTCCAGTCCTGTGCGTCCTGAACGTTGGAGCCCACTAAGATAAAAGGCGGGACACTGGCCTTCTTGCTGTCGTCCATCATCACATAAGTCGGAGAAGTCACTTGCGGAGGGTGCTGCAGGAACTGTGGCTCCTTAGGGTTAGATAAATAGAGGGTGGCTTGGGGGAAAGGCCCGGGTGCAGGTGGCGGTGACGGGCGACTTGGCTGAGTCATATCAGTTAAACAGTAAAGGGTCCACATGTTAGAATATGGTGGTGGTTGTCCTGCTTCGCTTGCTGCTAGTGCTATAAGAAAAAAATTGCAGGTGTTAAAGGTTTGGTCTCTGTAACAGGCGCTATGCACAGAAATGTCTCAGTTTTTGTACATCTAAACAAAACAGCTGTAGTAACGTGTGCCATAAAGCATGCTATAGAGAGGGCTCAGTTGTGCTTGGTAATGTGAAAGGGGGGAGATTCTCGACAGCTGGAAGGCGAGAATGGCGTCGTGCTGGCAGCGGGCAGGGACACTAGGGTTGTGGCTGAGAAGCAGTCTCCTTTTACGCTGCTGTTTCCAGGTACTGAACTTTAGCTGTGGCTTCAGCAAGGAAATGGAGAATCAACACTTTTAGCTCTACCAAAAAAATCAGTTGAAGAGTGTGTTATGCTAGTGAAAAAGTGTTAATGCATCTGCAAAGTGATTTTTTTCTTTACTAAAGAAGTCAGCGCTGGCTGTCATCTTTTGATCACATCTCTCTGGCACAGCACAGGCACCGTCATCTTCTGTTAACTGGTCTCCACACACAAAACCTCACATCATCTAGGACTCAGAACCTAAGAGCACGTGCTCCCCTTTAGGCAAGGCTTGAAGTCATAGGCCCTGGGTGGCAGTAGAGAGCTGGCCAGTCACATGGTGCGTCTTTAAAAAGAGGACCCAAGCACTGTCCGTCCACTGACACCAAGGGATCTATCTCGTCAGGTCGGACTGGCCTGATTGAACAGAGCTGTCTTGGAGAACTGAGTCCCAGATGGTGGGACAGGGGAGAAGAGGTCCCTGATGGACCAGCCTTTTTTTCCTTCCCCAGAAAAGAAAATAACACTGTGCACATGATTAAGCTGATGTTTTCAGTAGCTTCAGACACTTTGAACTGATCGTTCTTGGAGCTAATTAAAACTGTGCACAAGCCAAGTCTTCAGGGTTTTGGGGAAGTATCCTGAGAACAGCGCTTGGGATGTGCTTCAGCCACAAGTGTAACGCCAGCCCTGCAGGCCGCCCTCCGCCCTTTCAGCTGTGCAGGATCCCTGTCACACTGCCAGACAATCTGACCTCTAAACACCTGCTTTAGTAACACTTCTTTATCACTCTGGTTGAGAGTTTCTGCAACAGGATGGAGGAGGCTGGTTCACGCGTGTCCCATGGCCCTCAAGGGAGAAGGGCGCCTGCACGTGGCAAGATGGAGCAGGAGGGAGAGTGGGTCCAGTGCCACCATCAGATCGAGACAGGAGGTCAGGTCTGTGTCGCAGGAAGCAGGAGCGGTGGTCCAGCTGCCAAGGGAGCCACTGGATCTGGGCACCCGTCGGGGAACGGATGGAAGCCCCAGCCTTTCTGCTCTGCTGCGTCCCAGGACCCCGGCCTGACCTTCCCGCTCCCTCCAGCTGCAGAGGCTCCGGGCGGGAACGCGTGCTGGACCCCGGCCCCCAGCCGGTTGCAGAGCGCTCCTCACTCAGCGCAAGCAGGCGAACACACCACCATTTCTTCGTCCCTACAGCCGCCCCTGGGTAAATGCTTCGTTGTCGTCGGATGTTACACTCACAAGTGAGAGATTTCAAGCTGACGCCCCAGTTGTGGTTTTGCAAGAGTCGGATTCAGATCACGTGAGTGTATCTGATTTTTTCACGATAGTAAGTTCACAGTAACACCAAAGTGCTCGGTGACGAAACGGAGGCCGGGGGCGGGGATGTCACTTTAAAATCACTCGTCTCGTGAGAGTAAAATCTCAACTACAACAAAGCCTTTAACTAGGTTTGGCATTTTAAATACTATTAAAAATAAAGGCTTTTTGACCAGTCTGGGGGGAGCCTACCTGGACGGTTACCTGAAATACAGATGTCACCCGAAGGGTAGTTTTGAATTGTGTAAGTAACCTTCTTACCTGGCTCCATCAAACCTTGTTCAGGCGCTGCCTCCCATGCTCATTCGATTTCTGGTTCGTTAGGACCTTCTGGAACAGGAAAGTGGGGGCCGCTAGAAGATCTTACAGATGCACCTGAGTGCACTACTGTCGCAGGCTCCCCGGAGAGCACAGCATCGCTGGGCACTACCGCAAAGATTTCCATTTCCAGTTGCATAGATTTGTCAGAGCTCACTGTCTGGGTAAAGCCTTCTGCCTCCAGACGTATTGAGGCATCATAGTTTGTATTTTCCTCCAAGTGCACAAGCTTGGCGGAACCCACAGATTTTCCAGACATGCCCGAGGCTGACTTGCCTACAAGTATGGGACTAAGTGGTGGTGACTGCTCGTTTCCTTTAAGATGAGCAACGTGATCAGAAAAAGGGATAACTATTTGTTCTGGTACTTGCTCAACGTAAGTAATTCCTTCGATCACAGGCTCATCTTTAAAGATAGACGCTATGTGCATGGTGGATGTCACCTCAAAGGCAGCCTGCAAAGGGGCCTCGGGAGCTTGGTCATAAGCAGGAGGTTCTTGTTCAACCTGCAAGGGGAAGGAGGAAGCCGTTGGTGGTTCAGCCTTATCGTCTCTAGGTTTAGAACCCAAACCTACATGGGCAGATGTTTGGCTCAGAACCTGCGCCGTAGCATCTTCAGCAGCCTCTGAGCTCAGCATCTCGGAAGAAACAGGCATACTTGTTGCCACATCCACCATTAAGATGTCAGACTGATCAGAATGAACAGATGAAACTTTACCTAACATCTGAGCGGCAAACTGAGCTGGGTCGGCAGGGACGTAGGCAAACTCCGGTGAGATAGCTGCTGGCGACGGTGAGGAGGGCGGGGTGGCAGTCTTCGGGGTGGTCGGTTTCGAAGGACCACAGGCCACTTCGGGTGCCTCCTCAGGCTTGGAGAGCAGCTCAGCGTGAGCTGATGGGAACTGAGTGGTTTTGTTGCTGAACAGCGGCCCAGTGATGTTGTCCTCCTCTGTGTCTGTGGATTTTTCCATCCTTTTAGGTTCTTGGGAGACTGTAGATGTTCCTTCTGGTTCTTTCACATATTCTGGTTTTTTCTCTTGTGCCGTTCCATCTGACCACTTCTCCACTGAAAATAAGTGCCAAATGGGTTAATAAGCACATATTCCCCAAAAAAGGAATCTTAAAGAAGTACTAGGTGCACACTGAAATGTCAGCATATACACAAGTGCAAAAGACTCTTTGCTTTCCAACATCTGTAACTAAAATGTGGATAATGAAACTGTCCTGTCCATATCCACTCAGGACAGCTCAGGTCATTTCCTTAGAAATAAGTGACTACAGCACTACAGCCAAACTGGTCATCAGGTACCACCTTCAGCTGCTCAGCATCAGGGGCCAGATCGTAACTCTGCCGAAAATTAAGCTGAAAACCTCCCTGGAAAAAACTCCTGATCCAAACTTCACCCACACCTGGGGTAAGAAAGAAAAACTTCATAACATAATAATGAAACACATGCTGCCCTATTAGTAAGGGCACTCTCCCATTTAAGAGAACTGCTGCATAAAGTTTAACTTAATGAACTGGGAAACCAGGGGACTGCAGAATCTTTCTACATTAGGAAATGTCATATATTCTAATCTAACAATCGTAGCACCTGCTGGCAAGGTGTGGTAATGCAGCCAAAGTGAGGACGCAGACAGGAGAAGGAACATCCCCATGGCTTAGAAGTCCCAGACAGAGAAGCTCCTAGAGCTGGAGAATGGCTAGAACATGAGACTCAGCATTCTGCTTGTCACTCGTATGTCCGTCTAACCACCCGAGTCGTTACTCAGCAAACATGTTCACGTCTGCTTGCTTTCCTGAGGATTTTCTCTTTGGGGACACATTTCTCATAAAATCTGCAGGAAAAGTAGAATTTGCCTTTACAAGTATGTATTTGCTTTGAGTCGAAACTTTGGAAACATGTCTTCACAAGTCCAGCTGCTTTTCCAAAGAACAGTGTCCTACAGTATCTCCTTCCACAACAGCTGGTGACTCCTGGTAAACTCAAATCAGGTGGCATAGCTCTGGATGTGGACCCCACATGGATGTTCCCAGGCCGAGAAAAGTTTCAAAAAGAAAGAAAAGGCCCATCTACTCTAACCTCCCTCTGCAGTGACCTCCTATCCTAACCAGCTACCTTTTCGGGACGCCCCGCCTGCTTTTACACAGAGCCCTCTCCCCGCCACCACACCAGACCAAGTGCTTAAGCTGCACGTGGAAGTGTATGAGGCAGTGTTGACAATGTAAAGGTGATGTTACGAGGAGAACTCAAAGTGTACGTTCAGTAAGGGAGATAAGAAGATACACAGGTATTACAGGTAAAAAAGTGTAAGGACTTAACAAGGATCCCAGTAAATATCTATGGAAGTTCAGAGGAGGAAAAGAGAATTCTCTGGCTGCAGGAATAAGGCAAGTTTTGTTTAAATAAGCCTCATCTTATACTTAAGGGAAAGCTACAAAAAACAAACCACAGGGACACCAAAAACCCTAAGTCCATCAGAGAGCAGAGTCACAAGGCAATCAAGTAACCTGATGTCCAAAGAGTGACCAGTGCCCCTCTCCCCTCAAGAAGAGAAGGGCCACAGAACTGTCTCATCTGTGGCGGTGCCTGGAAAGGAGGTCACCACCATACTCACTGGTAAGCTATCAGTTAAAATCTTCATGAACTGACAAAAGCCAAATGTGGGCTAGGATGTCGGTCTGGAATGGTCTGGGACTCCAAACACAAGAGGCCACACTCACCCACAGGCACGTTTCACTGGGCCTCACACGAGAGGTGGAAGCAGGGTAGACAGCCAGAGAGGGGGGTCCTGCGCCGACACCAAACAGGCCTCACGTCACTGGGGCAGGAGACGCTGGCTCAAGACCGACAACAGATAAAAGGCAGAGTTCGGCTGGCGTGGACAGCCGGCAGGAACACTGAGAAAGGGCCACCCCCAAGGCCCCGGGAACAAGGACCAGCCTAGGTCCGAGAGTCCCCCTGCCTCAACCAAGAGCCACCAGCAGTAAGAAAACAGCAGGCTGCACCTCCTACCCCCCACCAGTCCCAGGACTCTGCCACTCAAGACCTTGTGAAGGAAGAGTTGCAATTCCTTCACAAGGTCTGCAGTTCCCCAAGACCAGTCTAGGGGTTGGATCGCTGCAGTCTGGTACGTACTTACACGATGGGACTTCAGCAACTTTGTAAAGGCCACTGGCCCTTTTAAAAGTATCTGCCTCACAGCCTTGTCATCCCTGAAATCACGTCTCGGAGATGAATCCTCAGGTTTAATATTTTTACCTCTAGAAGTCCCCTATTAAATAACAACCCTTCTGGAAAGGTAAAGCGTTATATAATGAGCCATAACAACTCCGAAAAATTATGATACTGCTTCCTTTCCCTGCAGCTTTTTCATGGAAAGAAAAGTACATGGGAAGCTCTGGGTTTCAGTCCTGTGATTTAACAGACGCGTCGCCGAGTCAGTGGGTCTGAGCATCAGCCTCCAGGTCTGCAGGATGGGGGTTTTAATTCTGACCTCACTGAGTGTAGATAGTAAATGGAACCGCTCACCTGAAAGTGTTTTATAAACTGTAAGTCACATATAAATGGGGAAAGAATAAGTTAACACCTAGTTGAAAAACAAAAGTTTTGAAATGTGGTGTCAGATTCAAAACTATGACCCTCACATCTTTAAATCAGCTTTGATTAAAATTAAATTGGCTCCTTCCTAACCTGGGTGGTAAGATGCTGTTCTTTTCGCATTTGGAATATATGTATGTATGCACATAGGACATATGTACTATTTTCAATATAGTTCATCATTATAAAAACTTGAGATCAGCTGCCTTAAGCTTTAATAGTGTTTTTGAAAATGCAAAGCACTAGGTTAACCAGGAGACCTCCATCTCCTGGTTAGACCCACTGGTCCATTAGTCCAGTCTGTTCATTTGTGTTAAGTCTAGCTGGACCAAAATCCACATTACTTTAGTCTACTTGCTAACTGAATGGTGAGTAAATTCTTCAGTAAACAAATTAGCCCCACCATAAAGATTCCCTAACTTTATCACCATTCTCAAACAAACCTGCACATCTGGTCCTCTCAAACACAGCTCCTGGTATGAAGGACTCAAGCACAAAGGCCATAATCCCCTTGCCTGGGGAACCGGGCTCATGGGGAGGGGAGCATGGGCCGGGTACTAGCAGCCGGCTGTAGCTCTCTCTGGGGGTAAGCAAATCCCAGACCTGTTTCCTGCGGCGAGCTGAGAATGCCAGCAGGACCCTGCAGGGAAGCAGCCCGGCTAGACAGGGACATACTCCTGAACCTCAGCAGGTTGCTCTCTCTCCTGCCCTTGATGCTGGCTCTTGCTGTTCTTAATCTTGCTGTCTGTTTTGGGTGTTTCTTTCACTGCAGATCCAAACCCTCGTGATTTTTATGTTCTCCTAGATCTTGCCCCTGATTTCTCTCCATCTTGGCTGTGTTACTTATTAACATCACCAACGTGGCAGAGAATAAAAGTGGCCAAAACTCACTTGAGCCTACCTTTTCTTTCACTGTGGTCATTCTAACATGTTGGTCAGCCAGTGTAGCATTGGTTATTTCTCACACTGACTACAGGTCTCTATTTTCTCCACAAAGTTTTTCCTGCCCTTAGTATTTGCCCAATATACCCTCTTTTGCTTATATTAATCTTCCCAAATTTTCATCATGTAAACTTTGCCCTTTTCATTTCTCCCCCATCAACTCAGTTTCATGCTGTCATGTTCACATGAGATAGACATTTATACATATACACAAAAACAACTTTTTTTCCTAAGCAGATATATCCAAGCCAGAATGCAGTTAAACCACCATGGGAGAGGTGGGGGAAAAAAAAACAGGTGATACTTTTTCTATTAAAATAATCTTCCAAGAAGAGTGTTTATACAACATTCATAAGTAATCTATCTTATATAATGAGTCTTTATTACCTCAAAATCCAATCCTCATTAAGTTTGCTGTACTTACCTAACACCAGGGCATATTGGAAAGGGTTTGAGTCATAGTTTACACACTGTTTTAGGGCTCAGTGTACCCAAATGGTTTGCAAAAGATGAGTGTTCCCTATTTTTGTCTTTTCATGATTTTAATTGGTTCAATAATAAAGCATCAGTGTGCTTAAACACAAGCATTAGTGTCATTATTTAAACAAAATATTCGTGGGTATCACTCCAGTTTGACAGTATGCTAGGAATGATGCAATAATTTATAGATTTTTATTAAAACCTTATTATAGTACTTACCTTTAATCTGATGAAATTGTTTAACCAGATCTTTTATATCCAGAGAATTGTTTCCTAAAGAAATAATATAGGAAATCAGATACATAAAATTTCCAATTTAAAATGCTTTCTTTTTCAAAGCAACAAATATATAATCTAAAGCAATAACAAACCTTCTCTAAACAAAATGAGTTCTTTGAAATAAACTGCTGCAAACTGGGTGATGTTTGGCGGATTGGTTTTGAGAATGGCTCTGCTAACTCCCTCCAGCAGGGTCTTGAGGCCATAAGGTACGACAAGTCTGGGCTTTGAAGAAATCATTTTGGCAGGATGTCTGTAATCTCAACTATAACGAAGAAAAACAGTCTTATAAATAGTGTATTAGTTTTTTATTAAAAATTAGGAATAAACTAAGTTTCTAAGAACAAATCTACTGTTAAAATTACCAGCTTTAGAACTAATCTCTAGGTATTTATTCTAGTAAAATGGTCTAATTTTTGATGGTAGTTAAAAAAAAAAACCATACTACAATTATGACCAATCTAGTATTTTAAAAATCCATGTGAAAAGCCCTAACAGGAGCTCCAGGGTGATATTAAAAATGAAGAACAAAAACCAAACAAAATCTGTTTCTATAAAGTGCAGTAAATATTTTGTGCAAAAAAAATTCAAGAAAGATAAAT